AACTGTTGAAACTGGATTTTAAGCACAAGCAATTTCACTTGCTTCACTTTTAATTATTCATTCTCTTCCATTCCCAGTAGAGTTCACTCCACTGGCATAGTGGCTTTTGCATACGTATTTTCCGGCATATGAGACGACTTTTGAAAGGGAAAAAAAGTCAACCAAAAATCGGGGGCAAAAGACCAAAATTGCACAAAAATTACCTGCAGATCTTGACGGCAAAGTAAGTCTTTTCTTTGAAGTGGGGGTAGTCTTATACAGCGAATATAGGCCTAAACATATGTTTTAACTGTAAAATTAGGGGGTCGTCTTATATGCCAGAAAATACAGTATGTTTCACAGTCTACATGATTCAAAACTGTGAAAGAAATTAATAATAAGCTCTATTATTGAGCTTCAAAAGACTACTTATTTCACATCTTCTAACTCACTAAAGAACTCAGTTCAGAAAACAATGTGCTACTTGGGGGCAGATGGGTATCAGGAGAGATTATAGGAAACATTTTGTTTGTTTTAAATGTTTAATTGTTTTTAATGTCTCTATAAAACATCAATCTTCCTGCAAAACACCATAGGAAACTATGACATGAAAACCTCCATTAATTTGCTTAATCTTGAAATAATTGAAAGTGCATGCCTTTCTTGATTACACTATATTCACATTTCATTTAGCATAGTAAATCCCACAATTTAACAGTAATACTCAAATGAAAACGATGATGAAAAATTTGAATTTGTAAGACTCCTAAAAATTTCTTATTCCTTTTTACGATTGTACTTTGAAGTATTTGAATATTTATGAATCCCTCATAGTAAATTTGGGGAACAAAGAATAAATTGTTATTGCATTCAGACCACAAAGCCAGGCAGAAAGCAAACTGCATTGAGAAATAATGAACCACTCAGAGAGAAACTGTCTCTAGTTTTGCCTGTTTAAGACTAAAAAGTAAACTTATTTTGAATATATAAACTTCGTAAAATTTTAAAACACATGAGTATCCTCTCACAATGCTGGCTCAGAATAATCCTGTTAGCTGTTGCTTCACTAACTGAGGCATACTGAACATGTGCTAACTTCTCTATAAACGAGCTATTACCAAGTTGCCATAAAGTGATTTATTAAAATGAACAATCTTAAGAATTTATAGCAGAACTTCTCTGTGCAAAATAAACAGAAAAACATAAAATTCCCTATTTTATAAGAAATGTGACATCTGACAACTCAACTCTCACAGAGAATCAAATTCATACTTCAACCACAATCATTTGATTTTCATATTATTCTCAGCAATGAAAGAAAAATGCAGATTAAGCAAAAGATTTGTTATTGTAAAAGACAAAAATTCAAGACTCAAGATCTTTTTTCTTTTTTTATGGGTGGGGAAAGGAAGACTTTTCTTGCTTTATCTGTGGACTGGCACTGAAATGAAACAAAAGCCAAAGAACTTGGATGCATAACCCATGGACACAGGCAATAGTGTGGTAAAGGCCAGAGGCAGGGGAAGTTGCAGGCTGGAAGGGGTCAATGGGAAAAAAAAAAAAAAAGGAAAAAAAGGCATCTGTAATATTTTCAACAATAAAGAATTTTTTAAAAGAATCTCTTTTTTTAAACTCTAAGCCATCAAACGTTTCTTCCCTTAAATGTCTCTGCGTAAATAAAATTTAAAATATTCCATCTGTGCCAGCACCACTTTTACAAAAAACTGATCTTTCTTTCAGAAAAGTAAGTCTAGAGAGAAGTGTGGATATGAAGTGTTTATGGCACCATTAGTAACAAAAGATAGATTGATTTGGCACTTCTTGGTAACTTAGTTCATGAGGAAGCTGCACCCACTTTTTCTGTACTTTTCATCTGTTTCTGTAGAGAAAATAAATGCACAGCAGGAGAATGTGATTCCCAGTCAGTGAACCTGAGTTTTTAACCTTCGTCTGTGCCCAAACCAACCATCTTTTGGACTTTGTGTTCATCACAGCAACATCCAAGTTTTAATATCCCCTCATAACAAAGCAAGGACTCCTGTATAAGAAATGACTGACTTCTAATTTAGGCTCCCTCTCCTCTCTGGGCCTCTTGGTGAAAGACAAAGGTAGCAATGTTAAATGACACATAACTTCTCTGCCACATTATCTAGCAGGGTTTATGTAAATATCAAGTGAAGTAACTCCCTGATTCCACCTCCCCATGGCACCCTTTCCTTCTGCTTGTGAACACCCATTACACTGCAATGAAATGTTCCGTGTAGCTCAATTTCCAGGTTGTTGAACAGTGCCTGAGAAATGAGACATTCACTGAAACAATTAAATGCTTAGTTCTTTTAATTACATTTAAAGCATCTAACATAGTTTCTGACATCAAAAATAGACCCAGAGTCATAGAAAATGAATAGACTGTTGAACCTTAGACGGAAGGCAGGGGAAAATGATTGGGAAGAGATCAACCAATTAACTTGTATGCATATATTTATAATCCCTGAACACAGACAATGCGATGGTGAGGAATTGGTGTGTGTGTGTGGGGGGGGGGCGGGGGCGTTAGGAATTGGGAGCAGGCTGGAAGAGGTTAATGTGGGGAGGAAAGGGGCACCAATGCAATATTTTCAACAATAAAGATTTTTAAAAAGCGTTCGTTAAAAGAAATTATTATTTCTTGTTCCTCCATAAATTAGCGTGCTTAAGCAGTCTACATAACATCCACAAATAAAGGGTGATAGATGAGAAATTAGCTATTATTCTAAAATCCACTCATTCAAAATAGTTTCTTGAGCTTCACCTTTGTACTGGACATTATACTCACAATGGAAGAAAAATATACTCATAATATGTATTTTTGTTTGTTTGTTTAAGCGGGAACCACTACCTCTGTCCTAGGAACTATCTCCTCCACAAAGGCAGAGATGAGCCTCTTAAGCAATCAGATTTTCACCCTGTGATCCTACTTCTATTTATCAGAGTTGATGGATTAACAGAGCAGTCAGCTGGCCCAACAACTATCCACGTAATTATCCCTCTCCAGAGCTAGTCTTTTAGTGTCTGCAAAAATTACAACTACAGTGATGACTCTTTTGAGCCATGATTCGGGTATCTTCTGACTCCTGCAGACAGAGCCTATTCCAGGAAGGCTGGAGTCAGATGGAGGATGTGGAGGGAATGGAGGTGCACAAAGACAAGAAAGAGGAGGCCAAAGACATTCCTAAAAGATTCCACTACTGCTTCCAACCCTCCTGTGCACTCTTCAGCTTGGGTCCATTAAGTCTCTGTCAATTTAAACCTTGGAACAAATTCCTCTTCTGGTTTGTTTTTGTTTCTAGTTGAAAGAGGAACACATTCAAGCATATTTATTCAACTTCCAAAAAAGAGGGATTTCAGGATGGAGAATGAATGTCACAGACTTTTCTCTAGTATAAGGTGACCAGATGTCCCGCTTTTGGTGGGACAGTCCCAATTTTTAACAATTTGTCCCACATCCTGTGGCATTTTAAAAATGTCCTGATTTTTGCAGGACAAATTGTTTAAAAAATTGGGACTGTCCCGCCAAAAGCGGGAGGTCTGGTCACCTTACTCTAGTACCTCAAAAGCAAATCCCTATTTACCATCTTCTATTATTGCTCTTGATCATATGTGTATCCTTGAAATACTAGATGGTGTTTTTATCTTTAATTTCCCTTTTAAATTATTGATCATAGAGGTCATTGATTTTATTATAATTTAGTTAGGATGGAGAGGATTTGGAAGATGACTGCATAGTTATACTCACCACCTCCCACACACACATCAAAATTACAACTAAAATACAGAACAACCATCATCCAAAACTGCTGAGAAACTGGCTGAATGGAAGTCCTACAATGAGAGGAGTCAAGAAGAAAGCACACTAAGACTGGTAAAAGGTGCAGAGGCATGAAATGGGCTGGGCTGGCACCCTCGTGTGCTGTTTTTGTTGTTGTTGTTTGTTTGTTTTAATCTGGAGGGAGATCATCTCTGTGGAGGCTGCCTGGAGGGGCAAGGGGTCCCACACCCGACCCCCAGCCTAGGGTCCCAGAGCTGGGAAAAGAAGTCCCTATGGGCAGTAAGACCTTTGGCTGTAAATACCAGTAGGGATTGGGGCTCAGTGACACAGAGGTTGCTGGAGGCCTAGCTGTTCCTCTTAAAAGGCCGGCATCACAAACTGAACTTACAAGGTTCTGCTTCTGCGAGCTCCAGCACCAGGTCGAGGCTCTGTGGAATACAGACGCTTCCAAGGAGGAACTAGATTGCCTGGCATCGGGGCAGGAACTCCTGGGCAGCTTTCTCCCAAATGGAGGTGCTTGCAGGGATCATTGTTCCTATGCTGGGACCGCCCTAGTCACAGGGCTGACTGGCAGCCATTTCTGTTTGCTCTGCCCTGGTGATTCCCTAAAACCCCGCCTCATCCAATTCACAACCTCACCCAAGCTGCATGCAATGGCTTTTGATACGAATTGCCCTTCCTTGCTCAGGGCAAAATCTCTCAAACAAACTGCAGCTGGGTCAGGGAGTCCCAAACCTATTAATAAAAGGCTCAAGCCTGCTTTGTTTCAGAGCCGGGCCTCATCAGGGCATTTCCAAACCCGATATGAAGAGGATGAATCTGCAGATCTCTTTGTTGCTCCTTCTGGATGGCCCCAGGCAGTGGCTAACTTTGTACCTCCCTGGAGACCCAAGAGCCGGTGTACCCAGTGGTCAGTGTCAGACTGTACCAGATTACATTCACATCCATAAGTGACACACTCAAGGAGCAGACTCAGTGAGCACCAAAGCCCCACTGGAGCTAGTACTGCTCCATAGTGTTGTCTCCTGCACTATGGAGCTCTTTTACTGTAGCTCTCTTACTGTATTATAGTTGAAGCTGGTCCTCACAGCCAATTGGTCTGTAAGTCAATTCCTCCCAGTGACACCAACAGCAATCAAGTACCAACAACAAGACTGTGCTCAGAGCCCACAAAGGGGTGCACCTAGAGCTCCCAGCTCAGGTGCCTGGGGAGGCTGAGCCATTGGGCCCCATAGAACACCTACTACACAAACCATTATATCAACTCAAAGAGACATAGCAGCTCTACCCAGTACATAGAAATAAACACAGGGATGCAGCCAAAATGCAGAAACAAAGAAACCTGTCACAAATCAAAGAAATTGAAGAAAGAAAACTACTGGGTATGGTTATAAGGTTACTCAAGAATCTTCTAGAAACCTCCAAAAAAAATGGAAAAGGAGCAGTCAGAAATTAAACATACACTGACTGAATTAAAAAATAATATACAGGGATTCAACAGTAGAGTAGAGGATTCTGAGAATCAAATTAATGATTTGAAATATGAGGAACCAAAAAACAACTAACCAGAAACCAAAAAGAAAAAAAGAATCCAAAAATATTTGCCTTTCTACATTTTTAATCCCAATAAACGTATGTTCTCTGAAGCAACCTTAAATTAAACTAAACAGTTTTTAATAACTGACAATCAAATAATCAATTACAGATGTGGCTTCATTGTATTAAATCAATCACATGATGAATCTTCTATTCATTGTTAATATGGTGAACTAGCAATTAAGCATTGACATTTACCTGCAAAGTTGAATACTAAATTACTCATTTCTCATAGCTGTCACACTTGTACTATTAACTAGTATTAGTTCATTTGCAGCATTATTCTCACTGCAGCAATTACTGCTCTAAACTTAAATTAAATTTACTGTTCCCAGGAGAAACTGAAGTATATAGTGCTACTTTGTGTTTATGTGATTCAGCTTTTCTTCTTCTCCCTTTCTCCCTTCCTCCCTCCTATCCTTCTTTTCTTCCTTCCTTCATGGAAACCATGACTAAATATACTCCATTTATTTTTCTTTCATTTAAAAAAAAAATGTGGTTGTTGTTGGTTTTTTTACATTTGAAAATAAGATTTTTAGATTTACAGAAACCCCTCACCTGGTTTCAATTCCTCCTATCATTAACATTTTACACTGTATACATTATATGTGTTTCCATGAAGCAACCAACTTTGGTACGTTATTATAAACTAAACTCTAAACGTTACTTGAATTTAACCAGCTTTTCTGCCAAAACCCTTGTTCTATACTAGACCTAATTTGGATAACACAGCACACATTTATTCATCATGTCTCTTTAGTGTCTCAAATTATTTGACAGCTTCTTAGGTTTTTCTTGACCTTCACTGTTTTAAGGAAGACTGGCCAAGGATTTTGTAGAATGTCATTCAAGTTAAAATTGACTGGTATTTATCAGGATTAGAAAAGGTTTTTGGATTTTTAGAAAGAACACCAGAATATAGTGCTCTTCTTATATTATCATATCACAGGCTATGTGATATTACTGATGATGTTTATCATAATCATCTATTATAGTTATAGTCCTGTTTACCAGGTTTGCCAACTATGGTACTATCTTTTTTCTTTGTTATACTGTTATTTGGAATGAGTCACTAAGTCTAGTCCATACAACAACAACAAAAAGAGAGAGACTAGGGTTAGGATTAGGGTTATACCCTATGGTGTATCAACATATATTATTTGGATCCAATAATTTTTAAAGATTTTACTTTCATCGTTTTGGTCTGTTTAGGAAAGTCAACATTTCCCAAAATATAGTTATTCTACATTACCTTTTAATCTGACATTTAAAACATCAGCTCAAAGGTTATACAATATTAAATATTTTCATGAAGTTGCAAAGAACATAAGTATATTTTGTGTTCACAGATATTAGAGGGTCTGCAGTTAATATTAAATATTCTACTTTCAATTTTATGTAAAAATATTGTGTCCAGAATACAAAATATTTTTATGTTAAGCCAAAATGAAAATTAGATGCATTCTCATACAATGAAGGAAAGTGACTTTAAGAATGCTTTCACACTGGAAAGAGAAAGCCAAATTGACTCCAATGTGCACACTACATAAACTTTAAATTTAAAATCTAATCATTATCAATGAAATATTTAACCATGTAAATGTGAGGCAGATTTTATGGTTAGTTTCTCTTTTAAAATAGTTTAAGTTTTTATGCAGAATAAGGATTTTCCCTACTAAAAATGTATTCTTCCTATTAGTTCCAGAGTAAAGCTGTAAGAATATAAAATTAAGAAAAATCACTTATAGATCCTTCTTTAAGTCTTCTAAAATATGAAGAGTGAATACACTGATGAGAAAAACACAGGATTTGAAGAAAACTAGTAGAAATTTAGTTGATAGTAAAGTGAATATTTAAGTGAGAGTAAACTAATGCACAATTATCTAATAGCATGAAGGGGAAAGAACTATTGTACCATCTCTTGCAGTGTATTGTGGGCAGCATATCTATTTGGCAAAACAACACACATAGTGAGAATGAGATCTTTTGCACATCAATTAACAATATGCTATAAATATTCTAAATGAGAAAGATATTCCCTAAAACAATGTACTTTGAGAGTCAGTATACTTTAACTTCATTGTTTCACTTCAAAATGGTTCATAGAATTACATTGAATAGATCGTATTCACTTTATTCATGTGCTTTTATTAATTTTCTTGAGAGAGAGAGAAAGGGAGAGGATCCAGCCTGCAGCAAATCCCCCTCCCCTGCCCTGAAAATGTCCTGAGAGTAATTGAATTAGTGACCTCTTGGTGCCTGGGAAGACTTCCATCTAACTGAGCCACACTTGCCAGAGCTAAGTAAGTTGTTATTGGGTAATGCTTCTCAGTTTTAGTTTGTTCACGTTTGCCATGTTAGAATATGACTATGTACAATATTATAAGAAATTGAGATCAATTTGTTCCAATTTTGGCCATGTTAACTTTAATCACGTGGATAAGGTGGAGTTCTATAGGTTTATTCACTATAATTTTCCTTCTATAATTAATCAATATGTAAGAAGATACTTGAGAATATGAAAATCTACTATTCCTCAGTAAACGTTCACAAACTATTGATAGTTTTAGGAAACATTAAAGAGTCTTACTTGATTCAATTACTACTTTGAAGGTTGTAAATAATAATTTTTTATAATTATTTTAGATTTTTAGTTGGTAGACCGCTTGCCGATATGCTGAATGTGTGATGGAATAATATCATGGTTTTAGTGTAGAGTTTAATATAAAATTATAGATATCATCTGGATATCAGCAAAGTTGAACACATGTTATATGTTATGGTGTTTGTTCTTTCATTTATGTATGGGGAGTTACTCAACTTGTCTCCTCTTTGGACAGAAATACAGTGAGAACTCTATCCTTGCTGCCCTGATTTACTAATATAGCCCTCAAGAAGTAGCCCAGGAAAAGAAATCAATGATACTTTCTTTTATTCTAAGAGAAACTCAATCTTTGAGTTTCCTCAGATTAATAAAAGTTCAACTTATATGACTAATGATTTTTACAAGTTATTTATTCATATATTATTTAGGAATCAGAATGCAGACTTTATATCATACTATATAACTTAACATAAAAGCTTTTATCTTCCATTTAATGCAATTTGTTGTCTCTAATCTCTTTAATGTTATATATATCTACTTATCATGGAATTGATTTTCACAAGTTCAGTTTTAATTAAATTCTTTAGTTTTAATGATTGAGATCTGGTGCCAATTATGTTGAATCATGAATATTATCTATGAATGGAAATCTATCCCAGAAATAAACATTTTCTACATAAGGGAGTTGATTAAGCTATACTAGTAAAGCATTGGAAATTTACATATGATTACTACATTTAAGTTTGTTGGTCCATATTTCAAATTTCCTTCATCTTTATTCATTAGTAGATAAAAAGTTCAATTATTTATGTACTTAATAATGTTATCTATCTTAAAACACGTATTTCCTTATTTGCTATTTTTTAGATTCCTTTTATCCACCGGAATATGATTCACATATAATTTTAAATATTTGAAAACACAGATTAATAAATACCATTATCAATACAGAAGAAAATCAAACTACATTTGAAAGGCTCACTACCTTGAAAAGCTCTTATAGATATCAGAGAGTGATGGTGAATTTGATGTTTTTGTACTCATTTCATTTCCAATTACAACTTTTCTTAACTGTCCTCTTTGTAAGTATTAAAATTTGCCATAACAGAATAACTGGAGAGTTGTACTATGTGAAGTGAGAACTGGACATTTAAGAGAGAAAAAAAACTGGGTCAAAGACTGTTGGCTTGAGTAATGACATTGATCTTTAAGACTTAGTCATTTTATAGTTAACATTCAACCAAACAGACAATAAAATTACCCAGACAGTGACAAAATATGAGGCATAAATGTAATCTATCATTCAATTGCCAAAATCTTCAATGATTTAGGTGAATGAGAAGAGATCTTTGTGTGACAATAACAAAAAGGACATACACAAAGAATTATTAGGGAAAGTCAAGAATGTTAAAGAGGGATGTATTTTTCTCATATTTGTTTCAAGATGGTGAAAAAGTGACAGCCTTGGTTTCTGGTTTCAATTCCTAAAAAAGTAAAGAATCTGTAAATCATCACTCCCATGCTTACAACAAGAACAAACTAGACAATTTTTTAATTAACTTTTCTTGGATTCATCAGAGAACTGAGGTTGCAGAACTAACACACACCCTGGTGTCTAGAGAGACAAGCATATGCAGAGAAGCACATAGGATTATTGTAGCAGAAGTCACTGGAGCAATCAACTGGTATGAATACTCAAGTGCTATTTTCACTAATTGATAAAGGCTGAGTTCAGACTAGCACGACATTGAAAAATTCCAGGGGCCCATAATTTAAGGAAGAACTCAAAAGTCCATCATGTTCTCAAAGTAAAGAGTCAAGAAAGAACCTTGTGTGCTCTCCTTGGGGAAGGTAAAGAGCAATCATTATGATAGACATTCCAATGACAAAGTCCTTCTCTGCACTACACCACCAAGGCTCTAGATTAGGGGTGTCGAACTCAATCAGAGAAGGGGCCAAAATCTAAAATCCAGCCTAAATCGCGGACCGAATGGTTTACTGAACAGTCATAAACTGTCATTGTGATGGAAACGCAGCGGAGTGCAGTGATGACAGCGCGGTGCGGGC